GAGTTAAGTGTTGCATTGATCTTGCAGATTTTATCGATGATTCAGTTGTTGGTAATTGGTAATAGAATTATTATAGGTTGTTTCCTCGATCGGCGTATTTTGCATTTAATAACAGGAGATCCAGCAAAGGAGTAATATTGTTTACTTTTACTACTCGATAATCAAGTGATGAATGATGCTGCGAGTAGATTATTGATATTTGCATACTACCAGATTTTTTGCAAAATTGGTACTTGATAATTGTTTTTTCAAGACATTTAAAAAAATGTACTACATGAATGAAATTCATAACAATAATGTATACTTTTTTATTCTACAATGAAAAAAATTGAATTAACTAAAGAAAACTTCTGCAAGTAATTTTTTAAAAATATTTATATGCGTATGTTATAATTATTGAAGGAAATAATTTACATAGGCTGAGCTATGGGTCAAAAAAAATTTAATTTTCAAGCGAAAAGAAGAATTGATCATTTCATGTAATTTGTAATTCATACTGTACACAAATGAGTATGAACCATAATTATTTACACCGGCAAGGATGAAATGGGACACCTCCGGGTTATTATTAAGTCGTTAGCAGTTTCACGGAAGATTTTCATTGCAATAAGAATTCTGTTGAATAAAATGAACTGAGTAGCCTGGACAAGGTTGCGTCTTGTATTATAATGTACCCTTGCTAGTTTGTGGAATAAACTCATCATTGAATTTCATGGAAGATATCCGTGGAGACCGATGAGTCGACTTTATGTTTTTATTGTGTTGATATTCACCTGCTATGATATTGATACTGAAATTCGATCGGTCTATCATTCTTTATGTAATGCTGGCGATAACGAGGTTTGAGTGGCGACTTGAAGGAATCGTTAAGCTAAAATTCTCACAGAGTACTGATTAAAGAAATAAATGAATCTATAAATCCTGAATCTATAAATTTATTCCTCGATATTAATTGCTTTTTTCTGCAATCAGGACGTTTTTTTTACTGTCTTAAGCAATGAAGGTTAATTAAATAGTAATAATAATTTAATTAATTGCCTAGTTAATGAAATTGATGAATGAAAAGATTTTACCTGGAAGGTAAACCCTTTTTTTTGCTGTGGGTAATATTTTCAATTGGTCATCTAGTCTCATCTGCCATGTGAACCCACATTTTCTTGAGATCACAAGACAGCAATGACTCCAGAACATCATCGCATATTTTTATTTCTTCCACAACAGAATCCATCCTGAATTCCCAGGAACAGGTCGCTGTCCGGTTCTCAGTTTTTACCACTGGCCACAGTAAATCATTGGATCCCGTGAACTCTCATTTTTCCTCCCCGTAAATCCCGTTGGAACAATTCCACGCTTCATTTTCTCAGACCTCAATAAAAAAAAATCTCATTATCACTACCAGTTACATCTTTTATGACGAAGAGAAATAATAAAGCCGCATCTTCATAGCTCCGAGGTGCTCAATTATTTCATCGCAGTAGAATGATATTTCTCGAGAAGAAAATGAGAGAATGCAATAACAAAACCGGAATGTTGTGCATAAAAAAATTATTAAATCATCTCAGCATGAGTCACTCTCTTCCATAAGACAGAATGACAACAAAAAGCCATCTTCGGAGTCGAGTCATTTCTGGGCCGTTCTAAATGATTTCTACCTACACTGGGAAGACATAAAAAAGTCTATTCTCTGAGAATTTTTAGAGTAGTACACATTACACGAAATTTAATGAATATATTGTAATTATTTGCTATTTTATAATGAATCATATTATTTTAGGAAATATACTTTTTCAAATTTCTTTATAAAAATTGTGAGACTTGTTACGTTTAGTATAAGAAGGTCAGGGTAAAATTGCCAATAATTTATTTCCTCTATCTATGTAATCTGTCGTCACTAGTGAAATTACACTATTAAAATTAACGAGCATTCGACGAATGCAGAGGTTGTACCTTGCAGCACGTCTGGAAGTCATCGGGCTGATTAATCCATGAAAATTCGCTCATTTCACTGCACATCATTACGAGATTTACACGTGTAGCCCGAGGTAATGAATTTGTCTTCATGCCTTACAAATGACTCCATCATCAGTTAAATACACGTCTTATATTTTCATTTGATCCCGACAATTTCAAACGGCCGCAGGTGCAAGTGGAATGACACACATCGCGAGTTTCTTTTCACGATAATAAAACACTTCATGCTAAACAGTAATTAATTACGATAATTTACGTTGACTTCAGGTGCTCCACATTTGACATCGCGGGGAATTCCTCCGGGGATTCGAGAAATTGTCGTAATTATTAGGAAATTAATAAGAGGAAATTACAGGAACTGTAACTCAGGACTCAGGACGTAACGTTCAATTGAAAATGTTTGGGATCAGTGAGAATTCTTCAAGTATTGTGCACTTGATTGCGTGTCAGGGACTCTTTTCAATTCAACAAATGTTGGATCAATCGTGAACCAATATCTCAATGTTTGTATACACCCACTCGAGAACCAGTCAAAAAAAACGAGAGGTAAATATCGCGTGTACTGATTCCTGTCCGAATTCTCGCGACGACTATCATTATTTATTCATTTTTTTGAGGAGCTGAATTTTCAGGGAGCTGAGGCCTTCTGTCAATGAACTATGGATGAATTATTCAATATGACGGAGTGCTCAAATTTTTTCATGTGTTTGCAACTATATTTTAGGAGAGGGTATTGTGTTATGAGTGAGTGATTTACAATCGGTTAAATGAATTAATTTCG